GGCGGGACGAGGGGCTGCCTTTGGCTGGGCCTGTTGGAGCTGCACAGGGCAGACAAGTGCCTGTAGCTGGGCTGCTGTCACCCTCCTGAGCTGCAGTGTCCTGGCAGGGTTTGGCCTTGGCCAAAGGGGAAGTCGTAAGTAAGGAAATGCTTGTAATTCACGATTAATGACTTGTTTGTTTTTCCTTTAATTCCAAGGCTCTACGTTTGCCAAAGCCAAGCCTGAAATCCCCTGGACGTCGCTGACTCGGAAAGGAATTGTGAGAGTTGTGTTTTTCCCATTATTCAGCCAGTGGTGGATACAGGTCACTTCACAGCGCATCTTCATGTGGCTCCTGGTGCTCTATGTTATGCAAGGTGAGGGGTGGAGCAGTCTGGAAACAATCCTTTTCCTGCAAGGAATGTGATGTCATTTTGTAGTCCATAGCATAAGGATCTAGCATAATGTAGATTTCAAGAGGTGTGGCACTAGTATTTGCAGAAATTATAAAACAGAGTAAAAATAAATAGTTAAGACAGAAAAACTGGGACGTGCTCTTAATTTTTGCATTTGATATGATTTTCTCCTTTCCAGTCATAGCAGTTGTGTTGTATTTCATGATGCCTGTGGTGAATGCAAGTGAAGTCATGGGACCAATGTGCCTTATGTTACTGATGGGAACTGTTCACTGTCAAATAGTGTCCACCCAGATCAACAAACCTGCAGGGAACAACGGGCTCAGCAGGCGGAGGAGGTGAGCGGGGTGATGGGTTCATTTGTTCATCAGAGCCTGTGATGGATTGCTCATGGTAGAAGTTAATGGGTAAATAGCTTCTGTTTTTATGTAAATATGTTATTTAACCAGAATGAGTGTTGTAATCTTCTCATAACCAAGACAAACGCTGCAGACTTACCAGGCTGTGAAAGGCCTGGTGTAGTTGTCAGTGGGACCTTCTCCTTCTAAGGTGGCTTTTTAATACAGCATATTTCTGTGGCCAGGGGAGGACATTCTGCACAGAAAGGCATCCCCAGGGGTTTGCAAACCTGCATCCTGCTTTGGCATTAACTGTGAGGAACAGGGAGAGGACAACAGAGATGACTGTGGTGCTGGGAATTTGTGCATGTGGGAGATGTTACTGTCCACCTACGAGATGTTCAACTGTTGGGTGTCTGACTCAGTTTAAACGGTCATATAATGTATTTGAACACGGGATTATGGATGGGGACAGAGTTCTCCCTCCATTAGATTTCTATAGCAAAGATTTTGTCCAGATTTTGTCTTACATCCTTTACTAGTGATGGACTGATGTCCTGTGGGAATATGTATAACTTCTGTTAATCCACATAAGATATTTTATTTGGAAATAAGCATTCTGTCTGCATGGCTTAAGAAAAATAGCATCTAAAAAGCTGTTCAAATCCGATTCAGATCTTTTTAAGAAAAACCTAAAAGTAGCTTGCTATGCAAATTTAATTTTCCTTTTCTTAAAAATCAGGAAGTTACGGAAATCTGTGGGTGTCGATGGGAGCAGTTGGGCTTCTGAAAAAACCAGTAAAGAGGAGCAGTCTGAATCTGCATCCGTTCTTAAGAATTTATTTAGTCTGCTTTTCCGGAGGAGGTATGTGATCCTCACTGGTTTGTTGTATTTGTCATGACACTGTGAACAATTTGATATCTGGAAAATGAAGACAGACTGTGACTGTCACTGACATCCCCAGAGTCTGCCAGTTGGTTTCTTTTGAACTAGAAGCACTTTTGGTGGTGTAGGAGGCTGATTCCTCATCATTTTTTAACACATCCATATTAGGAGATCGTATCTCCCAGTGTAGCTGAAGCTGAGTGTTAGGTGAGTTGCAGAAAGTGGAGGAGCTTATTTTTTTAATCAGGTAAGTGACCTTTCTTGAATGTGTATGCTCAATTGATATTAGTTTTACCTGATTTCCAGAAGCAATTGTGCCTTCTAGTTTAACTGGCCTGCACAGTCATCACACTTCACCACCTTACTTCTTCTAAAAGTAACTCGAGACAAAGAAGGGTGGATTGTTTGGGATAATATTTCATTGTCTTCTGCTGTTTCCTCAGGTGAGTTTCTTGATGACTTTTCAACTGACAGCTCCTTTCTCTTGATGAGGACTTCTTGTCTTCAGAATTGCTCCTACTTTTTTTTTTTTTAAATAGTATTAAGAGGAAAATTCCCTCTTGGTTTAGAAGTTTTCAGATACAATTAGAGTTACAAAAGAGTGAAGCAGATAGAAATCTCTTCAACAGAATCAGGACACAAAGAGCCTGTCAGCAGAAGACCATTGTATGTTCCCTCAGCTGTATTGTTTCATGTTGTACCTGTGTGGCAAGTGAAAGAGACCATGATATTTGCCTCAAAGAGTTTTTCTCTGACATAAAAGCATTTAATTGTGTTTTCTCTCATAGGATTAGAAGAATAAAGTTGGTAGCTGAGAAAGGGACAGAGACAGAAAATGGTGTGAATGCTGTGAATAATGGCATCAAACACAGACAGGCCAGATCTGAACACAGGCTGTTGAACTTCAAAGAGAAAAATAAACTTTCTGACGGGGAGAAGAGCCATCAGGTACTGGCAGGAAAGATCCCTTTGAAGTCGCAGATTTCAGTGGATTCTGTCTGTGCCCAAAAGTTTGTTGATACTTAACTGTATGGTTTGATCTAATACAAGATACTCCCTTCTACTAATCTTTGCTTGCACGTAGGAAACCTAAAAACCCTTTTGACTTCATGACTGAACTGCTGACCTGGTGCTGATACTTTGCTGTCAGCATCTTTTCATCTCTGACAATAGTCAAGTGTGTCCAACACAGTCTGGAAAATTCTGTTTTACCAAAGTGCTCATGTAATTGTAGAGGATTCTGATCACGAGATGTTCCCCTAAGGAGGACTGCTGATATTGATTAAACATAAGTAAATTGGCAATTTTCAAAAGCAGTTTTGTAAAATAATTTGCCTTGCAAATACTTCCCCACAATATTGTCTCCAAGGGGAGGCAGGAAGGTGAAGACTGAAAGAGCCCTTGGGGAGAGAGAAAGACAGAGTTAAAACATCAGGACCTCTGTTGGAATCTCTAAACCACAAAGCTTTGTGGAGTTACTTCTGAGGCTCCTCGGTGTCAGTGAGGGGTTAACTCCCACATGAAGAACTTGGGGTAGGATCTGTGCAGAACTGCAGTACTGTGCCATCCCAGCTCCTCTGTTTCTAGGCAGTTGGAGGGGAGCAGAGCTCGGGGGACACACCTCATGATTTTGGGTCTGCTGGCCACCAGCTCGTAGATAGATCTCTTCTCCTGGGCTTAAGGTTGCTGGTAAGACATGGCCATGAGCTGCTGCTGCCTCTTCCCGCCCTTGCCCCAGATCCAGCTCTGCCCCACCCACGATTCTGTCTCATGAGCTCTTCAGCAAGGCCAGGGCAGGGGTAAGGAGTCAACATTTGTGATGTCTCTGTGATGCCGAGTTGGATTCTGTTTCTGTGTGTTCTGTGGAGATCATCTCCTGCTGGCTCCTGCAGGTCGTTAGAGATTCCTCTCTAAACCAGCATAGCAGCAGCAGTGGCTTTGAACCTTTGGTCTGATGGAGTTCAGGCTGCTCCTTTATTGGTGCCTCAGTCTTGTTTCTGCTGCATTTCTAGGATGATGGCACCAACAGAGGTGGCATTTCAGACGAGCTTTCAAGTGAGGAGGATGCTGAAGCAATGGCACAAAGAACCTTGTTGCGCCAGAACGTAGAAGGGGCTTCCAGTGACAACAGCTATGAAGAGAAGAAAAAGAGGCCTCTTGTTTCCCTGAACCAGGCTGTCTCACAGGTACTTGTGTGCAACTTAGGCCATTTTCCACACAATTTTTTGCTATGGATAATGAACTGGTTTTCCTTTATTTTTGGCAGGTCAAGGAAGCCCTGAAAGGTGCCAGAGACTCTGACAGCGTCGTGGAATCTGAACTGGAATCCACGTTATATAGTCAGGTACGGTCACAAATTGAAGAGCCGGAGCTTTACTGAGCCTGGCCGGTGCAGGGATGTCCCCGCCCTCAGGACAGACCATTTGTGCTGGTTGCACTGCCAACAGTGTGATTTTTGTTTGGTTTTGTTAAACAAAGTCTTGTACTCACAATTGTGAACAAAGTTCACAAAGCTGCAGACAAGGGAGGCCACACCTTATACCTGAAGATGCTGCAGCGCTGTCATTTAATAATAGGGTGGAGGAGGAGGAGGTGGTTCTGCAAACTGGTTGTGGGGCTGTGCTGTGTGAATTTTGCTCTCTTCAAAGGACTCGAGGTCCTGCATTAGTAGGAGCTGTAGCGTGACCCGGAGAGACTCGGAAAGTACCCGCCATGACTCTGAGACAGAAGACATGCTTTGGGATGATCTGCTTCATGGGCCAGAGTGCCGCTCGTCCTGCACCAGCGACAGCGAGGAAATGACTGTCAGAGGTACCAGGAGGGATTTGAAGGAAGATGTTTTCCAGCAGGTGTGTTGATTTTTGTCCAGTAGCTGAGAATACCCGAGAGATTCCACACATGCCCCCTGTCTTTTCCCCTGTCTGCCCAAATAATATGCCAGACCCGTCTGAGTGCTGTTGGTGTAGTGTGAGCCCCTGCTGTCAGCTCACACGGAAATCTGCAATGATGTGAATGGCATCAGTGAACTCCCTCCTCTCCACCAGTGTTAGCTGAACCCCAGCTAACCCCAAAACAAAGTATTTCACCCAAAGATGAATTGGGAATCCCCCTCTCTATCTAGATACTTTCTAGGAAAAAGCATTAAATAATAGTGGGGCAGAAATAGATAATATGCCTTTTGCACTCTTTTCTCTTTTATAGAACCATTTGTTTTGGCTGCAGAATACGAGTCCAGCATCTGCAAAAGTGAGTGCACTGATCTGGGAAGGGAACGACTGTAAGAAGGTGGACATGTCTGTGCTGGAGATCAGTGGGATTATCATGAGCAGGGTAAGAGGCTGTGAGGCACTGCAACCTCCCTCCTCACGCTTTAAAGAACAACAGACAAAACCCCTGAGAACAGCTGTACGTGCACATCTGATCTCAGCTGCACATACAGCTGTCCCAAATGTTCTCTCTTAAAAATTGTGTGAACCAGAATGTGGGAGATCCTGCTGGAAGACTAAGGAGTGCTGATTATTGTTGGCTGTGTCTCTGCAGTGTGCTGAGGGTGGTGGGTTTATTATTTATTGACAGATTGATTGTTGTTGGTTTTGGCCTGAAATGGGTGGAATTATTTTAGGCTATGTCCTTTGAAGGGAAGGGGGACTGCACGTTTGATTGAATTCCCGCTGCCACAACAGCATGGCTTTTCCTTGCAAAGACCCAGGTAATCATCCTATTCTTGTTCCTGCTTGCCAGGTTAATGCCTACCAGCAAGGAGTGGGGTATCAAATGCTGGGAAACATCATCACCATTGGATTAGCGTTCCTGCCGTTCCTCTACAGGCTCTTCCGCGCAGATAACCTGGAGCAGCTCTGCTCCATTTCTCTCAAGGAGCTTTTGCACATCTTTTGTGGAGCACCTGCTAGCACCCCTGTCATCGTTTTGTCTGCCATCAACTTCCTGGAGAGACTTTGCTTAACCTGGATGTTTTTCTTCATGATGTGTGTTGCTGAGAGAACCTACAAGCAGGTAGGTTTAAATGTACTGTTGCCTTTTGTGAACCTCGGGGCAGTTTCACTACCCAAACCACGCTGCCTGTCGCTGAAGGCACTGGCAAGACAAGCGAGACTCAGCGAGCTGGTGTCAGAGTTTGTAAGATGTCTGAGAAGTTGAGGTGGTGGAGTCTGATTAGACTATTGCTCAGCCACAAACAAACCTGTCAGTGTCCTTCCTGACCCCTGTGCTCCCCCTCTCACCCTGCCCCAAATAGAAAAATATCTCTTTAGCATCTTGAAAGGGCTCGCTGCAGGGAAGCCAACACGTCAACATGGGGCTGCCTGGGAAGAAGAAAAAGCCTGTGTAGTTGGCCTGTTGTAAGATGGAGCATTAGACAGTTGGCTGCTCTGGGCAGTAGCTTTGCATGGGGGACAGGCTGGTGGTTCTTCTTAGCAAGAAGCAACAGCAGTTCCACCTCTGCCATACACACGATGGCTGCTGTTACTTACTGGAGAGGTCGTGCACCAAGGGCCCCGTTGGCCTCCCCCCGTGTGCACGAGGCCACCCCTTCCTGCCAGTTGCCACTGAGCATCCCAAGCAGTCTGTTTCGGTTTAGACTCATTTATTTTTGTGTCTGTATGTTTTTTGTTTTTAATTTGCAGAGATTTTTGTTTGCCAAGCTTTTTAGTCACATTACATCTGCTCGGAAAGCCAGGAAATATGAAATTCCACACTTCAGACTCAAGAAGGTAGAAAACATTAAGATCTGGTTATCCCTTCGTTCCTATCTGAAGGTGAGTTCTGCTCCAACGCCTGGTTTTTACAGGAGGTGTAAGCAGGTGTCTGGCACGCTGGACAGCACTGCCTGGGTTGTTAAACAATTAGAGCTGTTTGTGGTGAGCCCTGTTCTCACGGCTCTTGCACCCAAACCCGAGCCCTGACTCTCTTTGTTTCTGCAGAGGCGAGGCCCTCAGCGATCTGTGGATGTTGTTGTATCATCAGTCTTTTTACTGGCTCTGTCAATTGCTTTTATCTGCTGCGCCCAGGTGAGAGTTTAACTTTGATTTATTTATTTTTTTAAAGGAGGAGGAAAAGCCCCAAACTACTGAAGAATTTTCTTTTGCCAACCTACCAAGTACTTGAACTGTAGCTGCTGAAAAGCAGCTCAATAACGATTACATGTTTTATTACTTCACTCAACCTTCTGTTACAGGAAGCAGTGTTAATGCTGGAGCTGTTTTCTTGGTTTCTTTGTTTTTGGTAAGAGATTCATTGCAGTGTTTAGGCAAGTTCTTGAAACAAGACCTTTTACTTTATCCCAATGACATGAATGTAGCTGTAGAGTGCAGATGTCTGTCCAGCAGAGCAGCAAGGGCAATGCTTTTGTGCTTTCCCCAAGAACAAGCATTATTGATGCATTATTGATTGTTACGTGTTATTGATGCTGGTGTTTTGTTTTGATTTGGTTGTTTGTTTTTTTTTAATATAACAGGTGCTTAAGGGTCACAAAACATTTCTGAATGCAGCTTACAACTGGGAGTTCCTAATCTGGGAGGCAGCACTTCTTCTCTTTTTACTACGTCTGGCATCTCTGGGCTCTGAAACCAACAAGAAATACAGTAATATTTCGATCTTGCTCACTGAGCAGGTATCTCCATTTGTCCCTTTGTCTCTGTGGCTTGTTTGAACAGAATTACTGCATTTCAAACCAGCTTAAAAAATACTGGAAACAAATTTTAAAGTTTAGAACTCAACCCTTGTGCTGGACAGAAGGCAAAGACCACTGTACAGCTGGGGAAGGACAAGCTGTTAAACATCTGGACAGACTCAAATTCTAAAATTCTAGATTATCTTTGTGGGTTAACGTTAGCCACATCAATCAGAAAAGGAATGCTACTAGCACTGCTAAATTGCTGTCTGGATGCATCACTTCTTTAGAAGTGACAGTAGACTGCAAATTATGGCTCTAATTTCCTTTAGAAATTAGTTGGGGGCTAGTGCTGGAATGTTTACATCTGGGCTGTAATGTCCCTCTCTCTCACAGATAAACTTATACCTGAAGATGGAGAAGAAGCCAAACAAGAAGGAACAGCTGTCTCTAGTAAACAACGTGTTGAAACTATCCACCAAGCTGCTGAAGGTCAGTGACTCCCTGAAAACACAGCTGCTGAATTTTATGGAAGCAACGATGCATGACAGTAACTGTGTGGTTTTGCTCTTCCCTTTTCTTTTGTCTCTCGATTGAGTACGTTAGTTCTGATAAAGGGAGTGTTTCTGTGTTTCTGTAGCCATGGCATAAGATCAAGGAAAACAAGACCAGTGTGGTTAATTAGTGCTGCAAACATTTGATTAGTAGCAGCTTACATGATGTAGATTAAGTGAGAGGAGAGGCTGGTATGAGCACAGCACGTCTCCTTACCGCTTGAATCTCCTTTTCCTGCAGCAGCTTTGGTGTTGAAGCTTGTTGCCAGTAGCAGAGTAGGGATTTGGAAAAGGAGGAGCACAGTCTGAGAGTCACATAAATTAGTCTGGACAAATTCTACAGCCTGTTGTGTCCAGCTCTTCTTATGCAGCTTGTGCTACAAAGGAGACTTTTCAGCTTCAGCAAGGCTGTCAAAGTGGGAATTTCTGTACATTTAAGATCAGCAGCAGCACAGGGACAGCAGAGTCCCCACCAGAAAGGCAGTACTAAGCCAAAAATCAGAGGATTAATGGCTTCTGGTGTGGACAAAGGCTAGTGGACCTTTTTTTCTCTCCCCTTTCACTGCAGGAACTGGATACTCCGTTCAGGCTGTATGGACTGACCATGAATCCATTAATCTACAATATAACACGTGTTGTCATACTCTCTGCAGTCTCAGGTGTTGTAAGTGATCTTCTGGGATTCAATATCAGAGTAAGTGTCACTTCCATGTGAACTCACTCCTTGTAGGGGTCACTTTTGTACCACTGCCAAATCCTCCCACAAAGCGGAAAGGCCGTGGGTTTGAATTCGGCTCCCTCCACACAGCAGTTCAGAGAACAGACCACGCTGAGTGACCCTTCATCGCCCTGAGCCAGTGTTGGGGGGAAGGTTGGGGGCTGACTTAAATTCCATCCCTGTTCAGGCCTTCAGTGCCCACTTAAAGCCGTTAGAATCCGGGGTTCTTCCCCTTTAGACTGGACACACTCCTGTGGTTTATGCTTCAACAGCAGCTGGCTGAGCAGAGCATTCAGCGCAGGATGGGCAAAGGAGAGCGAGTCTCACCTGTACATGAGACATGCAGAACTGCGGCTGCAGACACTCACTCACTCACTCACTCACTCACTCACTCTCTTTATCTCTTTTCAGTTATGGAAAATTAAACCCTGAACTGACCCAACATCAGCACTGGGGCCTCTCCACCCGACAGACCAGCGAAGATAACCAAGAGCTTGGGCAAAAAGCAGAGCTGCTCTCAATCGATGAAAATCTGTAATTATGACTTTTTAAACAGATTCTCAGTGTATGTATCAAAACTTCTCCCTCTGCTTTACTGTTCTGCAACATACAGAGTAACCTGGTGTAACTGGTGAAGTCATCCCATGGCACACACACAGCAAACCACAATTAATGGGGCTAAATACTAGTAACTGGCACTGAAACCAGCAGGAGCTGTGTGCTCCTACTGCAGAGACACCGACCATCGCTACCCCTGCCTCGCTCCTGCAGGATCTGAGCCCTGTGCAGGTGACAGTGGAGTCACCATCGGCCTCTCTGGAGGGCTCTGAGCTACACTGAAACTTTTCAATTTGTGCATCCTTCTTCAGAGCTCTGCTCAGACTCAAACTCCTTAGACTTCCTCACCCAAAAGCAGATTAAAGTTTAGAAAGGGCACAGGAGAGAACTTACCTGGCTCTGCTATCTTCTATTTATTAGTAAGGAAAAAAGCAAAAACTGAGGAACTTTTCCTAGCTTCATTCTGTCCCAGAAGGGGTAAGATGGCCTAAGAATTTTTGGTAGTTAAATTGTTCACAGCTATTTTCTGTACAAGGAAAAGTTGTAAGATGTGAAAGGAGATGACAGTTTTCTATATCAAAGTGTACAAATAAACCTAGAGTACAAGTATTTCATCACAAACAACTGTTTCTACATGACTTGATGATTTTTATAATACCTTTGTTGAACATTTGTTATTTGAACAGGGAGTCCAGGAACCTTCCAATAATAAATTGCATTTGTTTTCCAGAAGAGTGTGATGTTTGTGGGCAAAACCTGGGTCATAGATTTACCTCTTTAAAGATGATGCCACTGAAAGTCACCGAAGAATCTATTTCATACAGTGCAGAACCAACAGGCCATGAACTGGAGTTTCTTTTTAATATCTATATAAAAAATAATGAGCGATTTACAGGTCTCTCTCTAGTCAGAACCTCAGAAGTATGTATAAAGGTGCTGTACAATATATAAACATTTACACCCAGTACATCCATACATTGCTTAGCATTCCAAGGCCACATGGCTAAGTCATCTGATACAGAAAGTACAGATACAAGTTCTATGGAAGGATAAATCACACACAGGTAAGACACTAAATTAGGTCACAGTAACATATAGAAAAAATACAGGGGTAGTTGATGACAGGGAAATAAATTTCAGTGGTGGCAAATCATCTTTGTTCTTAAACATCGGAATTTGTCACTGTACTCGGTGGTTGGGGCAAGTGCATACAACTCAACATAAAACAATCTCTTGTTAAGAATACAGGGTTAATATCTACACAGGGTACTTCAAAGTATTGAAATATTTTCACAGTCATACTCCACAACATGGAGTATTTGTACATATTATGCTACACAGCAAATCTCAATGGATCATCCAACGTCAAGCAGCGGAGCACAGTTCAGATCTGCTTTAAAGCCTATTGAGTTTCCAAAGTCTTTGTTTAAAAAGCTGTTTGAATAGTCACCTGTACTTGTAGAGTTCAACTCAGAACCAATTCACTGCTTCATTAAGCTTTAAAAACATCGTTTCAAAGCCCAAATCAGACAGTCACTCATTCACTTTCAAATAGCAAATTGCATTAGTTGGAATTATAACACCAGTAAATAAAGCTCGAGCTTTGACACTTCTTTCTCCTGCAAACTGGACCATTGGGCTCCTTTTACCACTTTTTTGCAGTCATAAAAACCCAACATGTCAGGAAATCATCACTAAAACCATGAATAAAATAAAACCCTTCAGTTTATGCAGCTGTAGGACTGATGTGTCAGTAGATTCTGGCAGTAACATTCCTCTTTTTAAATTAGGTATTCTAGCCCCAACAATAGATACTAAGTCTCATGTACCCTGTATATCATCCTATTTATCACTCTTTAAAAACAGATCATGCATTCAAAGTAACATGGGAGCTGTTTTCTAATATACACAGGCAAGAACTTCACTTAAGAAGCTACTCTGGCAGTTGGTTCTGTCCTAAAGGTCAGTTGTTACCTCCACAGAGGAAAAAATTCCAATTCCTAACTAGCATCAAATAATTAAAGACGAGACTTCAGCATCCAGCACCACAACGAGGCCAAAAATAAACGTGCACTCATTGCTTATGTTACAAGAATGCTGAGGATGACAGAGTGTCACACGTGAAACCAAAGGAATTATGTTATTTAACAGAACCCAGAATTTTCTCTTTGCAGACAGGTGTTTGTGAACAGTGGGTACAGGCGTCCTTATGAACCAAGAAAATAAAGCAATTTTGCTGTGTTCATAATAGCAAAATTACAAAACATTATGTCAAATATAATTTTTATCTAAAGGATTTTGTATCAGGTATAAAAATTTAAGAAACAACATCAACTGAACATCATCAGTGGCTCATTTGCTGCCCTGGAATCGATAGAACCAACTCACCCATCTTCTCACTGAACCAGTAAGAACTTGGGTATTTCCCTATGTAAACATGCACCATGCTCTTAGAAAATACCCATTTCAAACAAAACCTTGCCTTTTCCGTGACTGGAATATGTATGAGAAGGATCAGATTGACTGGATACAGTAGGTAACTTGGCACAAGAACAAGGAGTGAGTCATGATCACATTGGCAATAGAGACATTAAATAATTTTGTTCAGAAACTCACAATACTATCTGAGAAAGCCGCAGCAGTGCAACGTCGAGAGCAGTAGAACACCGCCTTCAAGAGGACAAGGGGACAGCAGCTTCTGGGAGAGTTTCATTTAAGCAATCCAAAGGGTCCTTCATGCAGCTCAGATCATTTAAGAGCGAATCAAATACTTTCCACCCTCTAACCAGTTTCTGGAAAAAATTACAACTTCATGAAAAAGAAACAATCCTTTTAAGTGACCATTCTTAGAAACTTGATTAAAACATGTTCTTAAAAAAAAGTGTCAGTCAGACCCGTTTCTCAGCCACACCCGCTGTCTGGGTGATTTTACAGGCGCTTGGTACCCTCCACGGCCCAGGAGTGATCGGTGTTTTCTTGACTGGAGAACTATTCTCGGATTTGGAAATTCCCTCATCTTTGGTTTCATCAGGCAGCTCCATGTGTCTCTCTCCGTGGTGTCTGTTCAGCAGAAGTGTCTCCTGTGTTTCTAGCCTCCTCTGTTTCTCCATGGAAAGCAGTGGAATATTGGAAAGACTGGAAGTTTTGAATCTGCTGGAACTTGGCTCTCCAGAGTTTGACTTCTTTATTTTTCCATCTTCAGATACGTTTCTCCTAGAGTCACTGAATGGAAGGTTATTCTCATCGAGTGCTGCGTGTTGTCGCTCTGGAGACCACCCGTCCGTCTTTCCACCCGTTTTCTGCTTCATGTCTTTCCTGGTGACTCCTGTTTTACCATTTCCACCTTTCAATCGCTCAACAGTCTTATCACCACCAGTTGTTCTATCTTGATATTCCTGTAACCTGCCTACTGCTTCCACGTTCCCTTGCTTGCTGAGATGCTTTTGGGGACTGGCAGACCTTCCTCGGTGTCCTCTGGAATACTCTTTTTTGTTGCTGTTGTTCATCCCGATTTCTGTGGGTTTACTCTCACTCTTTCTGGAACTGTCAGATTTATGTGAGAGTGTGCCATAGTTTTTTTCAGGATCCCCTTTTCTGAGGCTGTGGAATCCTGTGTGAGGGTGTCCCTCTGCAGCCCCCAACTCTTCTGAACTTGCAGATCTGTCTCTTCTGGTCCCTATGTCCAAACCACCTTTTGTGATTTCAAACCCAGGACTGGAGGGACATTCCCATCTGTTCTTTGTTCTCTGGGGAGAAGACTGAGGCTTCACCTCAAACTGTTTTTCAGTTAAAGTGCTTATCTTTTCAGGCACAGTGTTCTTCGCTTGTTCCAGTTTCTCAGACAGCTGAACTCTCATTAAAGCTTCTCCTGGTACTGGTAAATAACACACTTCAGATGGGGAAGCAGAATGTGAAGATGAAGATAATGGTGACTGTTCTTCATATATTACATTTAACGAAGATGGATTGTAACTATCCCAATCACCTGGAAGTAAACAGTGAGAGATTTGACTAAATGACTACAAAAACAAACCAAAAAATCACTACATATTTTAGAAATTAGCATACTACTGAGATTCCAGGATGTTATATGAAATATTCAATTTAAAAAAAGATTATGTAGTGGCATACTCTAAAGTCTTATTTAGTCAGTCTTCTATATTGCATTGTTCTACAACAACATAAGGATGTGGTTCTGGAAAAAAACTTGTGCTCAGAACTCTGGCACCGTCCCTGCGGGACTGACACGGTCTTGTATCAGCACAACTTTAGAGCCTAGGCAGCAGAACTGCAAAACAAAGTCCCTGACCTACTTTGTTTAATGTAAGAAAACCAAATGAACTGAAATGGTTATGCTAAAAGAAAACTGAAAACAGTGAAGAGCTGAAGTTACTCATGGCCTGGCACTTTATCATAGGAAGAGATGAAACACAAGACATGCAGATTTACCAAGTCTTTAAGGAAAAACCAAGAAAAGCACTGAAAGCCCTTAATGTTGCTCAGGTTTCACGTAGGGACACAGACTGGAAGGAGCCAAACCTGAAGGAGGAAGAGAAAAAGCCCAGAACTACATACCAAAATCACAGAGTACAGCAAGCAAGATTTCCATCAGAAACTCACATATGATTCACAGTGAGACAAGAGGCAACAAAACCCTTCTCCTCTCCACCACCGCTGATCTCGTCTCATCTAAGTCACTTCACCTAATCTCAGGCCCCATTTTGGACAGAGGGTTTGACCAGATGGTCCCCAGAGATTCCTTCAGACTCTTCTATGCCACTGAGTTTCTACCTCAGACTCAGGAGATCTCTAAGAACAAGAGGGCAGCAGTGACTCCAGGTTCCCCGTGGTGCAGGATAAACACCATCTATCACTGCGGAAATGGCAC